TATTGTTGCAAAACATACTGATGGCATTGGTTACAGAAGGATTTCTATACTTCTGAATGTTCCAGTGAGCACTGTTGGGGCCATAATCTGGAAGTGGAAAGAACATCATTTCACCATAAACCGGTCACGACCAGGTGCTCCTCGCAAGATTTCTGACAGAGGAGTGAAAAGAATTATCAGAAGAGTCCAAGAGCCAAGGATCGTTTGTGGAGAGCTTCAGAAAGACCTGGAATTAGCATGTACAATTGTTTCAAAGAAAATAATAAGTACAATAAGTAATGCACTCAACCGCCGTGGCCTGTATGCACGCTCACCACACAAGGCTCTATTGCTGAAGAAAAAGCATGTTGAAGCTCGTTTAAAGTTTGCTGCACAACATTTAGACAAGCCTGTGAAAAACTGGAAGAATATAGTCTGGTCAGATGAGACCAAAATTAAACTCTTTGAATGCCATAATACGCACCATGTTTGGAGGTCAAATGGCACTGCACATCACCCCAAAACATCATGGTGTAGCACTGTCAAAATTCATATAATTGAAGGAAGGATGAATGGAAAAATGTACAAAATCTATGGAAAGAACTAAAGATTAGAGTTCATAGAAGAGGCCCATGGAACCTTCAAGATTTGAAGACTGTTTGTGTGGAAGAATGGGCCAAAATCACACTTGAGCAATGCATACGACTAGTTTCTCCATAAGGAGGCTTCTTGAAGCTGTCATTACCAACAAAGGTTTTTGTATGAAGTATTAAATAAATTTCAGTAAGCGTGTTCAATACCTTTTCCCTGGGTCATTCCATTTTATTACACAGAACGTCTCAGGTCAATAGGCGCCGGGAGAACACATCATCCACTTCTTCGTCTGAAGCTTGCGTCCGAAGCATGGCAGGAAACCTAGAGGACACAGTGTCTCGTTCCTTACTCAGGGAACCATGGTTACATACGTTACCTGAGACGTTCCCTTTCAAGGGAACTTCGAACGGCGTCCTCTAGGGGCCTAGGCTACATACCCCAAAAACGTACCTGTTAGGGCCAGAACTCCTGGGCCCGGGGTAGAGCTCAAGGCTTGGAATCAGGAATAGATTCCTTTAAGGGAATACGACCAAGAGCCTAGAATCATACTAAGCCTTGGCCTGTCACAGAGGGGCTACCGCTTGCTCTGCATATGCAAAAGGAACTGTCTCAACAGACCCCTAGTAGCAACACCCGGTTAAAAGTGGGTATCCGGAGGATACATAGGTGGAGTGGTGCCCAAGGTGGAACTTGGGCTTAACCAGCTCAAGAAAGGGCACGAAGCTGCCGCGCAAAGCCCTCACCATACAGGATTTTAGAAAGAACGCAAAGTACTAGCGTGCGAACTTACCACAGTGTGGATTTAGAAAGTGTACAAAGACTTCACGTGCACACTTACCATAACATGGATTTTAAAGATACCGTTCTAAGGGGCCCTCGTGGCACTCTGAAAGAGCAGCCCATAGATGGAAATGGTACACCCCAAAAACACTATGTTTTGAGAAGTCATCAACTCGATCTAAGGCTATAATGCTGGAGTGGCTAGCAGTAAATCTGTAGCTGAGGGAGCAAACATCCAGTTCTCAATCGAGAGGGAGCTCGACCTACAGCATGTTCCAATGCTGGAACAGCTAGCAGTTACTTAGCTGAAGGAGCAACACCCTAGTTCTCAAACGAGAGGAGGCTCGACCTGGCGTACCAGACAGGGCAGCCTGAAAGCATAAGCCCAGCCCGGACATCCAGGAGATTTTGCAGTGCCGTGCCGGGGGCCTGATGATCAAGAAGGCTCCCGCAGAAGCCTGTGACCTGGCCGCATGATCCAGGAAGCATGAAGCCGAAACCAGGGCTATCATACCGGCTGGATACAACATCGACGAGTGAGGAAAACACTGCAAGTCGAGCACCCCAGGGCTCTACAGTGCGACCATTTCAGTCGCATTTACGACTGAAAACTACTGCGTGCGACTATGAAAATTGTTTTAGGAGCACCAGTGCGACTGACACGATCATCATCATACTTGTGATTGCGCTCAGGGGAGCTTTAAAGGTTTCTACGTGTTTTTGCAGCGTTGAGTAATGTATCACAGACGTATCTCACGAATCCTTTCATAAGCAAAGTGTAGACAGGGTTATAGGGGAATTAGGAAGGGGAAGATAAGGGCAGATGTAAGACCCCAGAAGGAAATTAGTAGATACTCAAGCATCACTCTGATCCAGACAAAAGCGCTGACACCTTGTCTGGATCACATCCCTTAGGTCTTGCCTACCTCCCTTTGACCCGCGATTCCTCCTACCCCTACCCGCAGGTGGGGGAGGAGCTTGAGCCGCGACACTAGCCTAAAAAGTCTTAGATCTTTGAGTTCAGCTCATGAAAAATGGGGGCAAAAAAAAAAAAAGTGTTGTGTTTATAATTTTGTTCAGTGTATATATATATATATATATATATATATATATATATGATCAGGTCTTCAAAAGACAATATTAAACAGTGTGCCCTCGCAAACACCGAACTTCTTCCTTAAGGACAGGTGAGCACAGACGAGTGACCTTGAGTTGATGGGCGAAGCGAGTGAAAGAATGTCTTTCATTAATATGTTTAGGTCTCAGAGCTGCCTGTGGAACAGGACATGAAAAGCGGTGTGCTGTCTGCTCTGCCCTGCTTTAAAGACAAACCACCTCTGGTAAAATGATGAACTCTCTAATCCTTTTTATTCATTCTACTGCCCCCAGATTTAAACGGGTACACCGTCTCTTTTTTGCCTGTTAACAGGCAGCAGTATAATAATGTAGTTTCCTGTGATGTTTCGAAACCATTGCTCCAGGCTCAAGCTTAGTCGGCAGCGTACGGGATCAAGAAGAAAAGTGAGCCAGTGAAAATGGATAAAAATGGCCCATTGTACCCCAAGGTAGGGAATGATAACTACTAACATGAGACACAAACAGCATAATAAATTATTCTCTGCTCTTGTTCCAGCAGACCAAAATCTAACTTTTCAGCGTATGCTTGGCAGGCCATTAAAATAATTTCTTCATGCTCTGAAAACAGAGGCCTAAAGTTAATTTTGATATTTCGTGAGAAATGTAAAATAAACTCTTCAGATTAATTAACTTGCCTGGGTTTAATGTTCTTTGCAAGAAAATAAGGTGCTCCAGCATATGATTTTAAACTGTAAGTGTTGGTTTTAGTTTCACAGGTAGATTTAAATTTTATAAAATATTCATTTGATTTCACTGTTTTATCACATATCTCTCTGAACCCACAGCTCAGTTGTCAAACACATCTGATGCTATGAGATGTCATCTGCTCATTAATCTAAAAAAAGTGAAAGCGATTTCAACATGTTAAGCTGTACAGGACTGTGAGATGCTGTGAATGAAAAAAATATTTTAAATGTGAATGAGAAAATTATTTATATATATATACAGTGGTGTGAAAAAGTGTTGCGCTTGATTGCAGTTGTTGCTGCTAAGGGTGGCCCAACTAGTTATTAGGTTTAGGGGGCAAACACTTTTTTCACACAGGGCCATGTAGTTTTGGGTTTTGTTTTCCCTTAATAATAAAAACCTTCATTTAAATACTGCATGTTGTGTTCACTTGTTATCTTTTACTAATATTTAAATTTGATTGATGATCTGAAACATTAAAGTGTGACAAACATGCAAAAAAATAAGAAATCAGGAAGGGGGCCAACACTTTTTCACACCACTGTATATATACTGTATATACACACACATATATATATATACACATATATTTTTTTTTTCATTGAAAAACGATTAACAGCAATTAAAAATTACAAAAATAATTTTGATGCACATACTGTAAACTACATTACATTTTACTAGAAATTAGTTTCTTAACTTTAGCTATGCTTAAAGTTAAATAATTAACATACATATATTCTTTCAAACAATAAAGGCAGACCCTCCTTTAGGTCTAAAACAAAAATGTTAGACAATTATAGCCCTGTTGATGACAGCGGACAAGTCTGTCAATTTTTTTTAATGCTAACTATGTAACTGTGCTAATTACTGTATATAGTAGTTAAAATATATGTGTGTAGAATCATTTTAGCATAAAAAATGTGTTGCTGATACACACCACTTCATCTTTCTTTTACCTTGAATAGTTTTGTTCAACTCTATCAAGCAACACATGCATTTGCAGCAAAACATCACGGAGTGATTTGAATGTAAGATAAACACACTCTCACAGAAATTCATAGCGATTTTTCATTTTGGCTAATTGGTGTGAACTTATTCAATCTCACTCTTTAATACGTTTTCATACAATCTGCTTCAGCCCAACGGAGGGTTATGTTTAGGGGTGGACCTTCATGACACTTTTTTCTATTGTGTTGGCAAGGCTAACAAAAAAGACTTGCGATTTTATTTGAAGTTGCTTAAGCATATTCATTTTGCTTTTCTAATTATGCACAATTTTACTGTTAACTGCATGTTAATATTATGTTATTATTATATTATGCATTTAGCATTGTTTCTTGCTATCCATGCCAGAACAGACTAAAAATGAACAGCTTAAAATATTCTTAAAAAATGAAAATAAATAAACAAATTGGATTCTAGTCATTAACACTGACATGAAATAATATTTTACATTTCAATTAGGCTACACTAGACTAGAGGTTACATATCTGATTTGCAAAATAGTCCTTTCCTTTACACAAAAGTAAAAACAAAAACAAAAAATGCAGGAATTCAGTATTGTATGCTTATAAACAATACAGTTGTTTGTGTCTGGTGTTATCAAACTGCAAACTAAAAAAGTATGGCTACAATTTCCAGCAAGAAATGCTTATAATCGCTGACTAAATAAAAAGCATTCCATTATTCACCACATCGCTAGGTGTGCAAGTCCACCTTCCCACCATCTTTCCCGTGTTTTTTTTTTTCAACACCAGCAGTAACTTCACCTAAGAAGAATTCACCCTCTGTCTGTGGAATAATCCATATCGCGAGCGGGGGATTTACAGTATGTCTCTACTTCACTCCTTTTTTTAAACACCCAATGCACCATTTCTCCGTGAAAAACAACACGACCTTAACTTTTCACTTTGTCTTTGAAAGGATGTAAACGTTTCTTTTGGTCTTAGTTCATGGTGCGATTTGTGAACGCACAGACCGAACATCCCTGCTGGAGTTTTAGTTCAACCTGCAGAATTTTAGGCAAAATGGCGACATTGTAACGGATGGAGGACGAAAAAAAGGACTGTAATGAAGTACCATGACACACTTGTCCAATGTTATAGTGTCATTCTCTGGGAAGGTAGGTTTGAAGCTTACAAACGTCTTCCCTTGACGGATGTGTGTTTAACCGTGTTGAGCGATGAGTGCGCGAAGGGTACAGTAGCTTGAGTCCTTGCATGGGCACGAGAGCTTATATACACGGGCACGAGAGCTTATATACACGGGCATCAGGTATGTCAACACCGTGCCAGTCACGAATCGCGCAAGCTAACATTTCACCCCTCCGTTGTCATATACGCTATTGCTCTGAATAGTATCGCATTTGGGGAAAGTCGTGCCATATGAGCGCATTCGCGCGGTTTCTCGTTTCCCCCTGAAAAACACTTTATACACACTTTTACAAGATGGGTGTCAGAATCGATCCAAAGCGGTGTCAGTCACTGGATGAGACGATCCGTTTTTCCGTGTCAGCGGGGAGTTTGTGTCGCGGCCTCTAGTCGCGGGTTTGACACTTGAAGAGCGCAGACGCGTTTAAACGCTCGTCTTGAAGGCACTCGGCGCGACCTTGATTGGAGGGAATCTGTGCGCAACGCGTTTGCGCACCGCGGCAAACAAACATCCCGCCAGCCTATTGCTTTCTCTTGTAAAGCACAGTCGATCATTTTGAATGGTGTTTAAAAATAGGCCCAATATGAAAAATTATTGCATGCTCCCAGAACTTTTAATAGCTGTAAATGCACATTTTATAGCTTTATAAAATGAAATAACATCATATCTGTGTGTGACCTATAACCATGACCCTTCTAAAACATAATTTTGATAAATCCCGCTTTACCTCCATTGGTCAGTTTATCAGGTGCACAAATTTGTTTTGCTGCATGACAACTTTGAGTGCCGAAGTATACCCTTTTTTTCTGCTCAAGCTTCAGATTCAGTGTTTTCATTTGCTCACTAGTCAAATGTTTGACTTGCAAGTATGTGACTTGTCAGACTGTCTACCCTTAAAATGTCACCTTCGATTATTTATTTATAAAAAATTATAAATAAACTGAATAAATTAAGTAATATCATGACAAATATCATGCTACTGGAATTCTTTATCAGCACGGCTGTGATTCGGCTGTACGCATGAGGTTTCAGAAATCAGACTTTTGCGTATAGGCTATTCAGTAGCACAACTGTAAATGTGACTTTTATATTATTAATTAAAATTTTATAAAATCATTAAGCAATTATATCAGGTAACTTGATTCAGACAAAAAAAAAAGGCCAGTTAGTTTGTATATTTGTTCTCCATTAACAAAAATAGTAGGCTACCAAAAAAGAGCCATAGCAACAAGCCAACTAAACTAGTGATAGAAACAAGCAATGCAGCGAGGGAAAAAAAAAACTCCTTGCTCACAACACCACAATCTCCACTCTGCACCACTCACATAATATGGTATTGACAACAGAAAACACATACAAGCAGAGTGAAATGTCCCTGTGTTGTTAGGCCTACTGGATGTTACACTTTGAAATCTGCTTGTCCAATCAGAATAGAGGACTGGAACGACGTGTTGTTTATACTATTATTAAATATCAAGGACAGTTTGGCTTATTCGGAAATATAACCCAGGTTTTCGCTTTGTTGGTTTTTCTGTGGACTGTTATTGCAAATGTGTGACTGCATAATTTTCTTCTAGTTTTTATTTTCATATGCTGTAAGTACCCTTATTATGGTTTGGATCATTAGTTCTTTGCAACTTTTTGTTTTTCCATTCTTAATTATCTGAGCATAGTTTTACAATAAAGCTATTCTTACACACTATTCTGCATACAGTGATCATACAGATATTGTTTGCTTTGTTACCATGAACACTGGATAAATGGAGGCCAAGAAAACACAAGAATATCTACCTTTTCTATTGGTGTTTACTAATAAAGCCCAGGGCATATGTTTTAAGTTTTATCATTGAGGTGAACCACAATTACAGTGTTAGTTTCATAGATTTCAATAGATTTCATGGTCATTTAGACTTCACAATCATGTCTATTAGAAGTATCTCCAGTAATACCTATTATTTGGATAAGTAAGGGACAACAACTGTTTTACTGCCCACTGCACAGTTACTTAAATATTGATTTGGGTTTTATTTTTATTTTACTTATAGAGACTGTGGAGATGTTGAACACAAATGACATGAGCAGTTTATTTCCCAATTATAAAGTGTTGCCATGGACAAGAATAATTATTTTGATTTATTTCGCTGCTGGATCTAGCAAATGACCAATCAGAAGCAATAATTTCAGAGAGCTTGTATAATGGACACTTCATTTGCCACTTGAAAGAAGCTTTTCTCTTCTGAAAAGCGTACAGTAAATTCAGAGGTCATGACAGAGCCTTGCCTCAGTCCATGCGTATTCGATAATAATCACCTTAATATAAAGAGATTTAGGGGGGGGGGGATCCAATTACTTAAGATAAATGAGGAGGGTCGAGACCAGGAACAGGGCTCAGGCACATGCAACCTTGCTAGCTGCATGTGCGCAAATGTATAATCAAATTCTTTAAAGACAGATTACACAGCCAGACTCCAGAGCCGATTTCAAACAAATTGATTATGTGTCACTCAGCAAGGTCAAGTATTTGCACTGAGGCGCATTTCTAGAATGTGCAGAATGATAAAAATTGGTCCCATCTTCCCTGTTTTTGCTGGGCTCCCAGTTCGCAGTGTTCTAAATGAAGACACAGGGGACTGTTTTAATGGAAGTACACTGGCCTGAATTAGCAAGCCAGCACTCAGACTCCAGAGCCGATTTCAAACAAATTGATTATGTGTCACTCAGCAAGGTCAAGTATTTGCACTGAGGCGCATTTCTAGAATGTGCAGAATGATAAAAATTGGTCCCATCTTCCCTGTTTTTGCTGGGCTCCCAGTTCGCAGTGTTCTAAATGAAGACACAGGGGACTGTTTTAATGGAAGTACACTGGCCTGAATTAGCAAGCCAGCACTACTGCAGCTGGGCCGGAGAGATATTTCAGTAAGCTGTTGATCTAGCCAGAACATCTAGACCTGCATAAATCTATTAGAGGAAGAGGCCAAGAGAGAGAGAGGCCTATTTATCCAGTGCTATGCTCTGACTATTAGCTGCTCATTCCATATCATTTAACCTCTAGCATGACCTCTCATTACAGCCACCAGACTCATCAGTATATTAGAATGTAATGAGCTCTTTTGCTTAAATGAGATGTTGAGCCTAATGATTAAGCAGCTGCGTTTTGGTGGATAAGATAGTAGCAATTTATATGTGTTACTGTAGCAAAAATATAGATTTCTATTCATCAAAGAATCCTAAAAATTGCACCATGGTTTCTACAAAAATATTAAGCAGCATAACTGATAATAACAAGAAATGTTGTGCACCAAATACGCATTTTAGTATGAGCATGGAATAATGGCTGCTGAAAATGCAGCTTTGCTATCAAAGGAATAAATTAGATTTTTAAAGTTATTTTAAATTGCAATAATATATTGTATTTTTGATTAAATAACTACTACTGCTAATATGTCGTAGCTTGCTACTTGGGCCTTACATGTTGCCACACATATCCTTTTTAACCTCCTGACATGTCTAATAATAACAATTCTCTGTCTATCTATATGTTCATGCTGCAGGTGGGTTTACTGAGAACTACAGGGTGCCAATGCTTTGGAAAAGACTGGTAGGAACCATATATGTATTTAAAAGAATATCAGTTTAGTGTCTTTTGTTTTCTGTGTTGTAGCAAATCACAATAATCTCATTAAGCATTGCAAATTGTTAATAAACGTGTGGACATTTCATTAAAAAAAGAGATTAAATGCTGACAGAATTAGGATGGAAACAGCGAATGTAAGATTTGTGTCTTCGCTAATGTTGCTGGAAAGCTGGAGTGACAGCGCTCTGGCTGCCTGTACACAGCACCAGGGGTGTGTGTAATGTTCCAGATATTTGGTGGCATGTCTCAACACCTTGAGCTGAGGCACAGATGTGTGAACTGCTCTGATACTATAGCTGGGTGTGATCACCAGTCAAATTAAATCAGAGCTGTCAGTTACGCTTGTCACAGGCATACTTCCCGTCAGCCTGGAAACCTGGCAACCTTCATCTTCCTCTAGCAGCCCTCCAGAAAAAGGCCAAAAAGGGGAATCTGGGTATAATGTTGTGTGAGCAAAACTGCCAAAATAATTTTGTGTAATTGGACAATGATCCAACAGAATGGAGATGATAGTGCGAAAAATGTTAACCTGTCTGCGTTCTGCATTCAAACGATATCTTTGTCTCTGAAGTTTGTCTTGGGATGTGTGCCAAAATTATTTGACAGATGTGATTGTCGCCGGTTAGTCTCGTTCCAAGTCGAGAGCTTGCCTCTCTCTTAGCGCAATTCTCACAACTTTGAAACATATATGGCATGGGTGTCCCGCCAGTCAGTTACCCACATCACCCCAGATAAGCAAATGAGAACACTTCTTCCTATTAAAGACTTTATGAGGGAAGTTACACACGTAAAATAACTCAGCTCACCAAAAGCTACAAACAGACTGCAGCAGCCTCGGGCTCCAGATCTCACACTGATGACTTCACCACTAGGGGCCAGGATTTGATCACTAATGCTCTGCAGGGTGCTAAACTTGGTTACAGTTAAAAGATATGAATGCTTCTCTCTGAAGATTCACTAACTGCTATGCCATTCATAGTCTATTTTTAAATAATCTTAGTTGTGTCAGTATGAAATATTGGTAACAGTTTACTTAGCCTTATATGAACAGCAGAAAACTTTGTGGAAATACCTGGAAAATTAGAGTATTGCTTGATTTTTGTAGTGCCTGATAGTAAGTGCATTGATTGTGCTTGAGTGAAATTACATACTCGTTTAATACCACTTTTATTTGAGGTCTCTTGCATTTAAACAAAAAGTGACCGCAGAGGAACAGAATCCATCGGAACAGAATCCATCGGAACAGACGCGTTTGTAAGCGCCTAAGAGATTCCAGAATCAATAGGACCAAGGCCGTAAGAATGTTCTATCGACACTGAAGGGTGTCTCTTACTGAGCACCAATTAACCAAAATTAAATCCACTGTTTCTATTGATTGAAAGGGTAAAGGCAAAAGTTTGCCTGAGAATTAACTGTCAAGCCCCCAAAACCTTTTTCTTGCGAAATCCTTCAAGGTTGTGGTTCACCAATCTCATTAAATTTCCCAATTATTCCTGGAGTTGGATGTGATATTTTAGAGCTTTGAACAGAGGTTGCAGGGTGATTATAGAGCATTTCTGTCAGGAAGAGATCACTGAATTATATGTGGTATTAAGAGAGATGAGAGTGTGTGAATGGTTTACCTGTGCAGTCAGTACATATACTGATATTCTGCTTATTGTTCACAAGCAGGTTCTGAAACGCCATTTGTACAACCAGAGTTTGAAAATAAAAAAAATGGAAGTCAAAGCATTAATTATTATCATTTCATAATAAAAAAAAAAACATCTTGAAATATTAAAAACAATTAAAAGGAAGACATCGTTTACGTTTGTCCTCAAACACCTACACAAACCCTTTCTTTTATTTATTATTATTATTAAATATCACCCTAAACATATATTTTTATTTTTCTTTATCTTTTTTGCTCTTGATTTTTTATTTTATATTTTTACTTTCCTATTTTTCTTTTTTTTTCTGTTAATTTTTCTTTCTTTCTTTCTTTTTTTAAAATGTGTGTATTCTTTGTTTTTACGTGTTTATTTTATGTTATCTGGTTATAGAAAGTCTGGCCAAATGTTGCCAGAGCCATCTGTTGGTCATCAGTGGTACTGACCAGTGGGAAGTGCAAATTCTGTCAGCTCATGGCTTAAATGTAAATATAATAATAATAATAATTAGTGACGAAAGTATATTGGATTTAAGTAAATACAGTGCTTGTTTTGCACTTTTGTAAAACAAGGACTGAATTGTGCAGATTACATCTGTGGCAGAAAATCACATTTAGCTGTTTTGCTGAGACCTGTTTAAGTATTAAAAATGTAAGCATTAAAACCTCGTATTTATTCCAACTTGATGCTGAAAAATTTTAATTTCCAATAGACTTGCCTTTGGCAGAACTGGCAAATGTTTACATATGTTTTCTGAAATGAATATATTTACGCCATGCTATGTTTCTTTATATAGCAAAATTAAAAGATCACCTGATTTGTTGCTTATCAAACACCACATTTTGTTCACTTTTGGTTTGGTCAGCTGCATTTTCACTTCATGGAGTGCTGCATGGCACGTACAACCAGACGGTACAGCAAGGGAAAGTGGCTTCAGCGCCCTGTTATTGATAAGAGCACCTTAATTGGAATAAAGAGGGAGGGCCTCTCCTTCTGTCTTTTGTATACATTTACTGTTATACTCATTAGCTTCCCATCGTCTCCCAGCTAGCATCTTCATTACAGCCCCCGGGAGTCTCTTGGGAGGTTATTTACATCTCTCCATGGGGCCTTTCTCAGGTTACCGAGCACACCCCCTACCTCTCCTTCTGCACGCATGCAGCCTCCTCTTTGATATGTTTGGGAGTTGCTCTGATTGAGTGGGGCTCTGGTGTTAATGACCAGTCTGGATGCAGCTCCGCCCCCTCATTCAGCTTTAATAGATGCCATTGACAAGCAGCAGGAACTGATAAAAATGTGATGATTTTTTAATATCCTAAGGGAGTCTGTTCAGGGGGAGATGGACCAGAAAGTGCAAGCATTGCTTTGTGCGGTTAAGAACGGGTCGTTGTTTTGATTAGCAGTGTTATTTTAGATTAAGTATTGGTTAAACAGATAGTCAGTTTGAATGTTTGGTCCTAATTTAGATAGGAATCCTCTGCCACTATTTGTCTTTTTCCACTTTCTCACTTTTATTATGTTGCTCATGTCTTAGCTTGCGCGGCACATTCCGTTTTAAGAAAAGGTAATAAAAGTTGTTTCATTCCGAAACCTGCGGCGCTTGACATTTCTCCAAATTTAAGCGGTTTGATGTCTGCTCGCTTAGACCCGATCCCGTCCTCAGCGTGTAGACAAGCGTTGACATTGACACGCTTTCATCTGATTGGTCACGTGTCTTCAGCAAAGCGGCAGTGACAAAGTTAGCTTTTTTCTTTCGCACTACTCAAGCAAGACAGACGCATGTGAGTCTGCCCTCGATCACAGCGGTAGATACGCGCCCGCGTAGCCCCACCGTATTTAAATCAGATCTCCAGTAATCATCACATTTCACGTAAAGAAAAATCGACGCCGTACAACACAGCTGAAAAAGCACCTACAACTCATGACCTGAGAGGAAGTATATTTCATGGCGTATTGCTTTCATATTTTACCCAGAATAGAGCGCAACAATCAATGTCTATTTTTCATCAAGAGATGTGCCACCGCGTAAAGCTACCACAGTGATGCAACTGCCAGAAAACTTTCGCCCCCTTCTTTAAGTGACAATCATTCTTTAATGTGAGAGAGAGGCTACTGGTTTAAGAGCCTGTCGACCTGCGCTACTTCACACCCACTGCCCGAATCACAATAAGAGTGCCCTCATTAAAACTGAAACCCCAGACCTGCTCAGCTTTTTCTTTTTCCTGCTCTCTTGCTCCCTTTTTAAAAAAGAGAAATTTTAAACTGACAAAGCCACGGGAAATCCCCATCAGACATCCCTCCCTTAATCTGTCTAATTTTGAAAGGTATTGTTTAAGGCTTCAAAGTTTATATGGTTTAATCCTCCTCTAACACTACAGGGCAGAAAATGAGGCCATGTCAGCAGCTCTGGCACCACTAATCTACTTCACACAACAGAAAATCCTCCTTCTAGATAAGGTTGCATAGGTTTCCTGTGAACTCGCCTTTTGATGTTCCTTACCTGCTATTGAACATGACTTCTGTCTTAACCCAACTGTCACTCACTCCCTGTCCCCTTTTATCATGCCCAGTGACCCCCCTTTCCCCTCTCCCCGATCCTAAATCTACCATCAAGGAGGTGCAGGCATTTCACTCACTCTATTTTAGGAAAGAGTACTGAGGCGAGCTGCGTGATTGAGTCCCTGAGTACGTGTTGATGCTCTTTTAGTTTGGGTTGAGGAAGGATGTGCTCTTTTGTTTTGAAATCCAGAGGCAAATTTGTGTGGACTGTTTTTTAATCTGGGTTAGTTAACCACTTATTCTCTGGGGCGTTTTTGGTATTTTCGCCTAAATTTAACATACTCAAATTCAAATGTTTACCCTACACACATACAATGGAGGAAATGAAAAAAAATTGTTTCATTGTAAAGAAAACCCTTTGAACTACAAAATATGAGTGTAATTCTTTATAAATAACATTATATATTTTTCAAATATTACAATAAACACAAAAAAAACATAGGCGCTTTTGGAGTTTTAAAAAAATATATTTTTTTGAAATTCTGTAATTCAGGTTCTATTAGGCCCAGCTCTCTGCAATTTACTTTGTTTGATGCCACTACATGCCAAAAAGTACCAGAAAAAAGAATCTTTCAAATAACAGCTTCTAAACAGGAGTTATTACATTATATCTGAAGCGAGTCAAATTCATGGTGAGTTTCCTTTGCCAAAACAGGCTTTATCAAACACATTAACCCCACAATCCTATTTTACTCTGTGCCATAAGCACTTTAATTGATTATTGATTGAATTATGTTTCATTTTTATGTTTTTCTAAGTAGTAATATACAAAATGGCATAAGCGAATTGGACCAAATTTCAAATATTGTTTATTCTACAATCAAGTTTAATTATTTCAGGATGCACAAGACTGTCTACATTATAAAATATATCTGGTCTATCACAATCTAAAATAGAATCCATATCCTCCAGCTTTATATAATTCCATTTATGTGCATTCTGTATTGGGATACTGATTCACAGCATCATCTCACCTCATCAGTTGACTCACTCCTGTATCCAGCATCTCTCCATGACAACACTATCATCCGTGGTCCAGAGCGGAGCTAATTTGCTAACCGGCAGCTATCTCTACATTCACAGCGTCAAACAAACGTATCAGCTCATCCACACCGCACTGTAAATAATCCATGTATATTTACTGTATATTTACTGAAATGCATAATGTACTGTACTTTTCTGTCAATAAACAAGTGTATCAGATTGCTAGCAGCGCTATCACGTTTCATAACAAAGAATCAGGTCTCAAACACACGAAGACTCGCTCCTAAATCTTCACCAGACGCGCGTTCATTCCTCTCCACGGCGCCGCTGACCGTTCTTCATCATATATAACTTTGTTTGCGGCTGACTGAAGCAGTGCTACGAGTATAAATGTAAATTCGCTCAGAGGTGACAAAATTTTACATCGCGATTCTATCGAAGATAATTCGATCTGTGATTGTCACACAATGAAATAATCTACATCGTCAAATTCCTGAGAATGAGAGCTTTCTTGTGATATATGACTTGACTTTTTTGTGAAAAATATATAAAATACACATTCTTCGTAAAAATTATTCGCAATGGTTAGGCGGAAATTCGTGTGTGGGACGAATACATTCTAAGCTTAATTTTACTGCTTTATGAATATAAAAACCAAAAGGAATGGTATTCTTTGTAAAGAAGACACTCCAAGCTTTCAAATGAACCCATATATGGGCTGATACCATATAAGGAAGGCTATGTAAATGAAGCATACACATTTTTAACGCGATTTTGGACCCGTATCCGGGTCCGCAGAGTTTATTAACAAAGCCTCAATGTTGCATCACCTTGGCTATGAATGGCAACCCCATGGATAATGCAACTTTGCAGTGCTGTGGCAACCAAGACATTAGACTTGGCAGCCTTGGCTCCTGGTAAAGCAGCGGTTTGTTAGACACAGAGGGAGAGATCTCTAAGGTAGCTGCCCCTGCGCTCTGTGGAGATTGTGTATTGAAGCAGATTTATTGCTGAGCTCTCAATTTCCACACAGCGTTCAAAAGAAATTGGATTCTTGCCACTCTCCGTGCATCTTAGTTTCTTTTACAAACGAAGGGGGGGGGGGGGGGGAA